ATCAAGATTATGTTAATTCTGTTTTATGTTTAGAAGTGAATTATTATCAGCAAAAGTTCTTTTCAAAGTACACAGAATAAATATGACCTTGTATCAAGACTATAATACATATAATACATATTTATATTATTTTTAAATTCAAGTTAAATTATAATAATCTAGCTGAAGTTATAACAAAACCATAAATAAACTTAATATTTTTTTGGCTCAAAACAATGAAAACAACAGAGTGAAGTGCCAAATGACATATTGTTACTAATGCTCTTTATTTTAATTTTTATTGTTTTTTAATCTCATATAATCATTGTTGAAAATATCCTCCCAGGTTTAGATGTGTAGAAATGCACAAAGATCACAGTTTAATGAATTAAAATGTGTATATGTGTGAATATATATATATATATATATATATATATGCTCAAGATAAATAACTTCAAACTAACAATCCTTTACATGAAGACAGGTTGTTTCCCAAACTCAAACCACAGTTCCAACAATATTCATTTCAGAGAACATATAAACAAAATCACACAAAATAAATAAATAAAAAAAGCAGACAAACTAACATTTCTGAGTAACAATGATACCTTACAGAAATTTGTTTTCATGCTAATTTCTTTTGTCAATTTTAGATGCTTACATGACATGGTCTCCTCTCAACTCTAGTTGCATGAATGGTGTCCTCAGCAGCAATCCTAGTAAGCATGGCCAGTGCCCATATTTAATTCCCGCACACTGATGGAGCCTCAAATCCACACTGCAACTGGTTTAGGGTTTAGAATGCAGCTAACGTTTAGGGTTTAGGGATTGAAAACCCAGGTTTGGGGTTTGAGGGTAATGTTTTTAAACCTTCTCGTTAGTTGTGCTGCACTCACAAGTCCTACTCTATTCTGCAAACCCCCTTCTTTTCTTCTCATTTTCTTCGTTTCTCTATAATATATGTACACATACAACTGAACATCTTGCGACAAGCTTAGAAATGGTGAACTGGATCCTGTAGGGGAGAGTTCTAAACCCACACAAACCCACAAGCCAATTATGGGATGGCAATCATTTTTCATGTTTGCTTGTCTTTGGTATTGAAGAAATAATCCACATGCATGGTACCTCCAAAGTGGATCATTGAATTGATGGTGAGTCTCAACATTTTGCCATATGTACTTCAAAGCTCCCTACTTTCAGGAAATCATCAAAATAATATATTTAGAAATAAATATATACATATTTGAGTTTTAAATTTCATGTTGAGGTCAACACATAAACTTCACTGCCTATCAAGACTGAAAATAATTCTTAAAATATTATTTGTTTTATTTGTGTAATGAAAAATAAAAACATGATTAATATTATCATCATTCCACCGAAACCCTGGAAGAAACAGCACAAAGTCTACAATTGTGGTAAGAAATGATAATGAAAATAATTAAAAACAAAACTAGAAATAAGATCAGTTGTTCACAACCAGCAGTTCCCTGTTCCCGTGGAATTGGCACAGAGCATGGGAACAGACATTGGTAACCACGTGAGTAAGTGCAGCTCATGGGGAACGTCTATTGAGAACACCTCAATGTTCCCTACACACATTGTTGAATTGTGTATGCATTTACAATTCAAATCCATTTTCAATCCTTCAGGATTTGAGACACACATATATATATATGCAGGGTCATATGAAAAGAATGTTCTTAACAAGTTATAATTAATCTTTATTTGTGCACATGAATGAATAGATTTAATAAAGCTGGGTTGTAAATAATTAAACAAGTTGGTTGATCTAATTTCCATCAAATAATTTTGATGTGGTCTATTTGATTGAAAATCTTTTGTAATAAAATTATGGTCATGATATTTATTAATATAAAATTTGTAAAAGAAAAAAAGCACTGTGTATAATTCTTTAATATTTACAGTTCAAAATTATGTTATTCCTTAATTTCTAAAATTGTTCCCACTATGCTTCTAAATTAAACTTCTGTAAAAATAATAAAAAAAATTAAATAAAATAATTATTTATATTTTAAACATGTAACAAAAATGATATTGATTAATAATTTGAAATTTAATATATATTGATGTTGAAGGTATATACATAAGTGTGTGTTCTATAGTATACACAATGGCTAACATACAAACCAATAGTGAATTTATAATAAAGTAATTAATCAATCTTTAGTGAGCTACTAGTTAATAACAAAATGTAGTTCTAAAGAAACATTAAGGATGTATTAAAAATAGAACTCAGTCACAAGTTGTAATTTAATAAAAGCTCATTAAATTTTCAACTGAGACGATTTTTTAATGTTGATTATGAAGCAGACATTGATACTTGATGTTTGACCACGAGTCATATACTTTGGTAGGCTTGTGATGCAATTAACTGCATTAACTGGAAAAGAATCAAAGTATCCAGCATGTTTCTGATACTAAGATAATAACTGAATTTGTTTTTAAAATACATACATATATATAACTTTTATTTAATGATTCAACTTCAAAAACCATAACACTCACACCAAATACATTTATTTTCAAAGTTGAATAAGTGAAAAAAAAATTATTTCAATCAATATATCATTTTAATACTTGCCTTTGATTGCACACATATATAACATCCATTTGTCAAGTACATGCCACTTTGATAAATATATATTTTGAGTACATCAACATGGTATGAAATCTTTAAGAATACATATACACAACTTCAAAGTTATATTTGCAAACAAGAAGTTTGCTTTAACAAAAAGTATTCCTCTTCTATTCTAATGTGTTGGAACAAATACAAAAGTAAACTGTACATGTAAATTGAAATCTGATGACTATTTCAACAAAATCATACTAAATTGCATATTAATTTCATTGTGATGTTTTGCAACTGTAATAATTTACAATGCCAAGGTACCCAACCCTGTTAATGCCAACAATCATTCTTCACTTAAGTATTCAACTTCACAATAATTGACCACAATAAACTCTCAAAACACACCATCACATCAATATTTTGATAAAAGTCGCGTGATCTACAAAAACCAAAAAACTCACCAAAATCAGCACAATTCAATTCTCCATCCTCTGCAACTTTCCCATGCTGCAAAATTCCTCATGACCCAATAATCAAAAATCATTCTTTTCACACCCTAATACAATTTCAAAAGCCATGAAAACCCTCCACAGAGGCACCTTGAAAGGGGCTTCCCCTAAGCTCATGTCCATTCCCACCTGACCCAAAAGTAAAATCCAGCCGTGTATTTTTTTTCTTTCTCAATTTCATTATTATTATTATTATCATTTTCACTTTATTTTTTTAATGCTCAAATGGGAGTTGAACGCAACACCCAGTATCAGACCATCTCCAGAAAATGGCTCATAAATGCCAGCTGAATGCACTTCATTGCAAAGGGCAACAGCCACCTTGTGGCAAATCACTAACGAATAGCTTCATAATGCCACCATTAACTGCAATTGCTGCAGCTTCAGCAACACAGATGACTGTCTGTGTGTGTGGATGTGTATGTGTGTGTGTTTTTGTGCGCCGAAACTCTGACGGCTAACTCATAAACCAAATCATGAAATCATGGAAGACTTTTACCACAATATGGAACCAAGTATCGGCAGATTGCAAACGAGGTGGGAGTGAGGAAGAAGGGACAAGACTGGTGGGGGAAGATCACGAAACTAAACTTTTTTATCTGGTGTAGTGTTGGGATTGGTTTCTCGTTGGGCGGTGAGTGTGTGTCCTGGAGATGGTACTAGAGAAGTTGGTGACGGTGAGCCAAGCGACTTCCCACCAGCTTTCAGCGTGCAGTAGCAGTGGCAGCAGCTGAGCCATCTCTCTTGGATCCTGTGATGCTTGTGAGTGTCACAGACGGGAGCTTTAGCTTCAAGATCTTACAAACAACGCCCACATGAGTTAAGCTTGCGCTTGGGATGCTGATCCAAGCGCTGATGAGGGATCCGATGGGGTGTGAATTGCACTAGAAGTGAGTAGGCTAGGTGGCTACGAAGTAGGCAGTTACATGGCGGGATGGAGTTGAGGAAAATGAGAAGGATTAATGTTCGAAAGGAAAATAAAAACAAAATAAAAACTGACGTTTCGTACGAGTTGAAAGCTGTTGTTGGAGGCTCTTGTGCTTACAGCTACTGTGGGTTTTTTTGTAAGGAATTGTAGGAAGAATGTGCTTTGCTGGTCTGAATGAAAGCTGCTTGGGAGCTTCACCCAGCGGGTTTAGCAAGATGAAAAAAGCACATGGACTTGACGTGATCCTGCAGCGCTAGCTTTACTTTGTACTGGGTGGGGGGGCATTACAGGAGGTTTTGCTTCTGCCAGCGTGGGCAACTTGGCTTTGTGCCAGCCATATTCCAGAAGGGATCGTCACAGCTCCCATCCTTAACCAGCTCTAGACATATATATTAATATATAATACTATTATTATTATCATTCTTAAAAACTATTAGTAATCCCCACAACAGAACAATGGACATCCTGCTCCAATGGAAAGCCAAGCCTTGCGATTGCGCCTAAAACTTTGACAGGACATGGTGGAGCTTGAAGGAAGTCACCAGAGTACATGGCTCACAGGAGCTGTCAGAAGGGGTCCGTTTGCTGGCTCCAGCGTCGTTGAACGGGATTACGCATAAACATCAATTCGCAATTGAATAAACGCCATTGCAAGGACCAGCGTTGAATATATTTACAGAGTATAAATGGGGGTTTTGAGTGGTGAGTAATCACAAGTGTCCGTCATCATCCATTCATCGTGCGGGATTATTTTTCTGGTCACTTGGAAAATTGTAATTGACACGTCGTCAGATTCTCATAGTGCAGCCTGTTCCGGCGCCATCCACGCAGCAGGTCTGCTTCGTCAGGGATGGCAGACATTGGCAGCAGCCGAAACTTGCCCAGGTGTTGCCTGCATTGAGCTCTGTCGTCTGCCACATTCGTCATCATGGCCCTTAATTTTTTTCCATCCTTTGTCAATCTGTCGCTGTGGAAGAAAAAACGATGCAGCTGCCGCTTTCCACTGATGGATGTTAACAAGTAGTCTCGTCCTACCTATTGGCTTGCATAAAGTGGCTGCATTCTCTTCGACTGCATGCTTCATTTCGTTCCCCGGTGCTACTGCTTCACATCGTTGCTGCTTCAGCCTCTAGCAAGGGTAAGCTATCCCCTCGTGGTGCTTGTCTCTCGTCGTTAGTTCACATCTGGTGCTTCTGCTCGAAGTTATGAGGTGTTATACCTAGTGTTCCTCCCCACAGTTGCTCTGTCGTTGTAGGTCTCGTTGTCCTCTTTACCATAGTTCGACACAGTTCAGTATTCCTGCTCCAACTTCATCTGGCAGGGTGAACTTACACTACCACCTCATGCAAGCTCGAATGTCGCTTAATGGAGGTAGTGGAACCTTTGTGGTACATACACAAGGCTGAAGAACCAAATGCGGAATTTTACTGTATAGAAATGAGCATTTGTTCGTCGTTCCATGTCGCCTCACACCTCGTCGATGTTCCGCCATGCCCTCATTGCTCCACTAGACGTTGCGCGTGTTCTCTTGCTTGCATTGCTCGTTAGTTTCTGTGCTGCTCATCCCTTGAGTTGTACCGAACGTTTTCTATCTTAGAGAAGTTCGGTAGGACCGACTAATAGCTTGCTGAAGCGGTGTGTAAGTAATATCTCATTTCTCAAGCAGGTACATCTGTTAGTGCTTTGTGAACTGTGTACACGCAATCCTTAGTTCAATGTTTTTGGGCTATTGTTGCACAGTTCAGGCCTCGGCAGGCCGTGACGATTTTCTGACTTGGTTTGTTCTACCGTGCAGAACCCCAAATGGGGTCCGCGCTCGGGATGCGGTGTGCGGGTCTCTTCGCTTTCGCAGCTCTGGCTATAGTGGGATTTGCATGCGCTGATACCTCCGAGCCCTCTCAAGGTGAATTCACAACATGGCTGAAGTACATGTCGGATACCTCTGACAACGACGCAGTGGATGATGTAGCACCTGTCGCGGAGGCGGATACCGTCACAGGGACATGGACTGGCGGTGACCTTTACAACCTTGACAAGGACCATGGTGATGAAGCTAAGAAGCCGAAGGTGAACAGGGACAGCATTGGCGTGTTGCCGAAGCCCACAGGGAAGCCGAAGAAAGTTGTCGTTTCTCAGGATGGCAAGGGCGACTTCAAAACCATCAACGAGGCTCTGGACTCTATCCCGTTGAAGTCTACACACCGAACGATTATCCACATCAGAGCCGGCGTATACAAGTATGCCACTCGGATCCCTGTACTTGCTGCAAATGTGCAAACCTGCAGTCCGTTCATAGTGCTATTCTGCGAAGTTGTTCTGATGGAAGTGCATCAATGCCCATGGTTGTATGGTGATGCTGATCGTTCAGGGAAAAGATTGTGATCAACGAAACGAAGCATTACATTACGTTCTTAGGCGATGGAATGAATAAAACTGTCATCACATGGAATGACACGGCGGGAGACTTCGACGACCAAGACGTGTTGCTGAAGACCTATCGCAGTGCAACAGTTGGAATCAGCTCAGAGTGGTTCATCGCTAAAGGTGTAACGTTTGTGGTGAGTCCACTATCCGTCGTGAATCGCATCATCGGAATCATCCAGTTACGTATCTTTCGGCATGTGTGTTTTTCGTAGTGAAACGACATTGTAACCCTTTTCATTCTGCACGTTTCCATTGTCCCAGAACACAGCACCATCACCACCTGCAGGCGCCATTCTCCGTCAAGCCGTGGCTTTGCGCGTGACCGGTGACAGAGCAGCGTTCTACAACTGTTCGTTCTATGGCTACCAAGATACCCTCTATGATCACCGAGGTCGTCACTACTTCGAGAATTGCTACATCCAAGGCTCCATCGATTTCATATTCGGAAACGGCCGCTCGCTATACAGGGTAAAGACTAAAACTGTTGCACATTGTCGATATACTTGCTGACTATCACGCACGTAGTCTCTGACCAGAACGAACGAAGTGATTTGCTTGCGCAGAGCTGCAAACTGCATGTGGTTGCGGATACTTTTGGCTCCTTGACGGCCCAGAAGAGGAACGAAACCAAGATGCACACGGGCTTCTCCTTTGTGGATTGTCATGTCGATGGCACAGGAATCATCTACCTGGGGCGAGCGTGGGGCAACTTCTCTCGCACCGTGTACTCCTACACCTACTTTTCGGACATCATCTACGGACCAGGATGGTCAGACTTCGGATTCCCGCAACGCCAACAGCAGGTGTTGTTCGGGCAGTACCACTGCTATGGTCCCGGAGCCTCATCTCCCGAGCGAGTTCCTTGGGCGAAGTACCTCTCTCCTGAGGAGGTCAAGCCATTTCTATCTGTAGGATTCATCAACGGCAAGAAATGGCTGCCACATTACATTAAGAAACCGAAGTTTACGTAAAATTGCAACAAGACTTATTTGTGCGATGTTTTCCCATAACTTGTGAGGTTCGAACCTCGGCCAACTGGTCATGTTGTGAGCAAGCCGTCAGCGAAGAGGGCAACTTTCAGAGTAAGATATATCTGGCGAAGCTGGATGTGCACTGGATTATTGACGTGTGTGTGTGTTTTGGAGAAGGGCTGCATCCTTGAGTTCTCCCCCATTTTTTGCTACCTGAACAGAGGGTGTCGACTTCTTAGATTCATGGGTCTCGATCTATCAAGGTCGTATTAGTCTAGATCTTGGAATCAACTTAAATGAAAAAATATTCCTGCAGTGTGGTGGAGCACTTCCTTCTAAATAAAGAGTCTCAGCTTACTTTCATCATCTCTTGACTTCAAATATTTTGGCATCAGCGGTGGAGCTCGTTCCTTGCCACCATGAGACTGTTTGCATCACTCAAAAATCATGTGATAAAACAATTGAACTTAGATCAGATAAGAAAATTCACCCATTTCACTTCGTACTGCTTAGCGACCTCGATCTGTATTTGTTATGAACAGAGCACACGTCAAGATTTTGAAGCTTCAAATTTAACGGCAGGCAAGTGCTGCGTGAATTTATTCATCGATTTTTGCCGAATGTAGTAACTAGTTGTAGCAACTTTTGTTTTTCTCTTAGGTGTATTGAAATGCTGATGGTTATTCATCTCATACAGAAAACAAACAGTTGTAAGATGTCATGACTGAATGATTGTTTTTATGGGGAAAGAAGAGATTGAAGGTTTTATTTCTACATATTATGTAATATGGCCATTGCTAATGCTACCAATAGCTGCCCTAAATATCCATGGCATACCACAATGTATTTTATGGAACACTAAATTATACATTTATTAAGAATGTGCATTATATCTATTGTGGAGAGCATAAGTGGAGAGCATAAATTCATAAAATGCATTGTGGTTTAAAAAGCACGTTTAGAGTAAGTTGTGGTGACATTAGCATAAATTGTGACAACATGTGATAGATGATAAGGTGTGACCAGGTTTAGGAATACCCTATAATATATGGAATTGTTTTTTTAGCAAATCTAACAACTTATTAGGATTTGTATGAATTATGACAAAATCCGAAATCAATGTTAGAAGTATATCATCATGAATTTTTATGAGTTCTATGACATGATTTTACAGTAAATGTTAAGTTTATAATACTAAATAGATTTTTATTCATGTTTTTATTTTATAATTATAGAACCTATTTAGATTAATATTATAGATTACTATAAAATAATTAATTTTCAAATGAAATTGTTAATAGTTGGTAGTTTGGAATCATTTACATATGCATAATATTCATTTTTATATAAGTTTATAACACCTTTTAACTGAAAAATATTTGGCACCGTTAATTTCTTTCATTTATTGTCTTTTTAATCTTTATTAAAAAGACAAAATTTATTGTTTATATTATGTTTTTGTATGTGAGTTTCACTTGTCACATATATGCCATCAATGTGCCAATTATTTTTATTTTTTGAGATTTTAATAAACTAATGTCTACATTAAAATTATTATGTTTATGGTTCTTAATTTAAATATTGATTAAATAATAAAAATAAACTAAAAATAAGCTTTAATACAAGAATTAGTTGAAAAATTAGAAATTTTTTTAAAAAAATGCTAATTTTTTTGTTACCTTACATCAAATTGATAATATTAAAACTAGTTCTTAAAAATATATTTTCTAAAAATTCTAAAGTTTGACTAAGTTTCAAAAGTAAGGTCAATAACACCAAAAATATTTATTTCAATTTGTTGATTATATGCCTTGTTTTTTTTAATGTATACATATTTAAGTATATTTTTACAAACATAATATATATATATATATATATATATATATATATATATATATATACTTAAATTTTTTGAAATTATTCTTGATTTTTTAAACTTTTTATATAATATCTATAAAATTTAGAACTTAAATTTTTTTAATGATCTCCTACAAGATACTAAAGTTTTTAAATTAATTTTTAAAACTTTATAGATTTATTTAGCTTTTGTTATTTAAAAAAAAAACATTTATAGTCTATTAAGAACTATATTAATAATTACTTTAACCTTTAAAAAATTCTATAGTTCAAATCAATAACACATATATATATATATATATATATATATATATATATGTATATATTATATTATAAAAAAATTTTTTTAGTTTATTTAGAAGAAATATAAAAATTGACCTTCATACTTATTTCAATACAAATTTTAAATAAATTTTAATATTTTTTATTTATTTATTTTATATCCTATATCAAGTAATATTTTTAAATTTATGATTTGAATATTTTGATTAAATTTTATTTTAGGATTGAAAAAAATATTTCTATTAGTATATACATATATATATATATATATATATATATATTATATCAGTATTTTTACACAATAATTTAAAAAAAAATTAGGTTAACCTTTCTATTGTAAACAATCGATTATCATTTTATTATTTGTTAGTCAATCCATAACAATGATTATAGTATAAAATGATATTTAATTTTTTTCTTTACAAACTTATAATCGTAGTTTTTTTAAAATTTAAAATTTAAGATTCTTAAATAAAAATTATTTAGTTTATATCTACTTCTCAATTTATTCCAGAACACTTGTTCTTCTAAATTCTCATGCATATTTTAATTTTTTAATTTAATTTAATATATATATATATATATATATATATATATATAAGTATACTTGATGCTTGACATTTCTCTTGCCAACTCAATACAAATGCAACTACAGTACTTTATCTAAACTTCTAATTTTTTTCATTTATTAATTCTTTTGTATCATTACACTTTAATTTTTTTTTAGTTGTCATTTTTAAAAATATAAATGATTATAGATATATAGTTAATTTAAACCATAGTATTATATGAATTTAAATAATATTATTATCTATAATTAATACACCTTAATCAAGTATTTTTCTTCATAGGACATATAAATTTGATTGATTGAAAAAAATTGCTATTGTATGAAATTTTATATTATTTTTTGCACAAATTTTTTTTGTATTTTATGAGAAGAAAAACTTTAACACCAATATCACAAACAATTTTTGTTTTATTTTATTTTATTTACAAATTCAAAGATAAAATAAATTAAAAATTTAATCACCTTATAAATTATATTACATAGTTGTATCTTGAATATATCTATCCAAATTAATACAACATTTTAATAAATACATCTGATTATTGATAAGAAAAAAAAAAGATATGACTAATAATATATTATTGTGTTATGTGAAACTTAGTCTAGAAATGCACTGAGGGTCTAGTTTTGGAATAGTTTCAATTTACCTTGAAGTTCTTCTTATAATCAAAAAAATTCATGAAGAATTTAGAAACACCCATCTTGGCAATTGTGACCTTCTTAAAATCTTTAAGTTAATTAATTTTTACTTATTGTAAATTACATCCCATGTAATAATAAATAGTATAAATAAGGTCCTAAGTAAGCTCAAAAGTATCTTAAATATATTCTTATTAAATTCTAACAAATTTTACTTAAATACTAATCATATCTTTATTAAATCCTAAATATCACTTAACCAACTTCTAACAAAATTCTAAACAAGCCAAATCTTAAATAATCCTAAACATATCCTAATTAAATCCTCATAAAATCCTAATAAAATTATAATCAATTCTAATCAAATATTGACCAATCCTAATTTAATCCTAATTAAATCCTAAAAAATTATAACTAATTACAAGTAAATAAAATAATAAGACTAAAATCCTTATAATATTTTATTAATTAATAATTTTATATAAAAAATTATATATTCATCAATTTCGTACTTAAAAACATACTCAAGAAAATTAAAAAGAATTTTATATATAAATTAAGAAGAAAGACATACAATCTATTTGTATGTTAGAAGGCCTCTTTCTCCAACCTTGATATTGAGCTACTTATGATGATATTTACTTCTTATGCAAAGATTTTCTGCCAATTTTTATTTTATTTTATTTTATTTTAGTTGTTAGAATTCATGCCACCTACTTTTCTACTAAATTTCATTTCAATTCAATATGCAAATAACTACAATTCTTTAAAACATATACTAATTGTCAAACTACAAACTTTTGATATTTTAACTTACTTTGATATCAATCATTTTTAATTTGACCAACTACTTGAACTAAAATTTCTATCACAAATCCAACACAAGAATTCAAAAAATCCTAAAAAATATAATTTTTAAGTTTTATTGAAGAGCTTTTAAAAAAATTCAAAATAAAAATCTCACATTATTTTAAAAAAATAAAGTTATATGAATCTAATCTTAATTTTTTTAAATTTTCACAAATATATTAAAAATTAAAATGGTTTAAAAATAATTCTTATAAAATCGTTATTAATATTTTTTTAATATTTTTTGATCCATTAAAAAAATTATGAATATATATTTAAAGATTTTTTCTAAATCCTAATTTATAAATGGTCCTCTCTAGGTATCAATTTAAGCTATTTTCTAAAATTTTTTGGAAGAAACTACCTTTTACTTTCATCTAAACATGTCTATGATAATTTTGTAATTAATATACTTTATCTTGTCTTATTTATGGTCCTATAAAATATATAGAAGTCTTTTTAATAAAAAAATGGTCTTAATACTATCATTTCTACTACCGATTATAATCTATCTATAATTTTTTAAATAATTTTTTATTATATTTTTTAAAAAAACTATATAAGTTATTGGTCTTCATGTACTCTTTCATCTAATAGTTATGTTACTATACAACAATATATACTACCTTGACAAAATATATACTTAAAATGTTATATATGAATTATAGTCATAAGATATAGGTTTACTATGTAATTCTTTAAAATACTTAGATTTATAATTTATGCTTCTAATCATCCATTTAATAAAGAATATTTGTAATATTAAATTTTTATATATATTATTAGAGATCTATATTAGATTTCAATAAAATTTTTTAATTTTAGATTTATTTTTTAATTTTTTTATTATCTTTTATTAATAGTATTAATTAAGTATAAGTATAAATACATGATGAAGATACCACCAAATATCACTTATTTAAGTTGATATTATTGGATTTATTATACTTTATTTAGTTTTTTATAGAGATATATTTTTTTTAATAGATTCATAAATTAATTTAAAGATTATTCAATCTTACAAACTTTGTTTCTCAATAATAAGTTTGAAAAAAATTATTTCTAATGAAGAAGATATTCTATTATACATATATTGTCACGGACACAAAATACAGACTTGAAATCTAACAAGAAGTTCAAGAAGAAGTGACAAAACTAGATTAAACAG